CAATACAAGACGATTTTTCATAAAAAAAGTAAGCTAAATTATTTTTTACATAGCTTATTACATACATAACAAATTTTAACATTATTAACACATTTAAACTTAAAACTTATATATTATATGCAACTTGAAAGGAATTTAGTATATGGAATTAGTCAAAACATGGAAACAAAGGAATATATAGCAGTAATGCCAGGTGAGTTTAACTCTAAAAGAAAAAGCTTCAAATGTCAAATGCACGCACTGTGGACGATACAATACTTCACCTGCTTGGTGTCAATTTTGTGATCCATGGAAAACAACTCAAGAGTGAGCAAGTGAAAACGAAGGGATGATAATTTCATCAGACTTTCAAATCAAGGCTAAGAAGGTTATTGTATGGATTCCACACGATAGACTCAAAAATTTGCCAAAGGTTAAAGACGAGGAATCAGATATAGTATCTATGGCTAATTTGCCAAAGTGAACTCACGGAATATACACAGTCACGTATTGAGTTAACCTTAAAACGTTGTATAATTCTCAGAAAAGCGAATTTTTCATAGAAAAAGTAAGCTAAAGGATTGCTTAGATATCTTATTGCATATATAACGTTATTAACACATTTAAACTTTAAGCTTAAGAATTATATGCAACCTGAAGGGAATATCGTATATGGAATTAGTCAAAACACGGAAACAAAGGAATATATAATGATAATACCAGATGAGTTTATTTCCAAAAGAAACGCTTCAAATGGAAAATGCGGGTACTGTAAACAATACAACACTTCCCCTGCTTGGTGCCAATTCCGTGATTCGTGGAAAATAACTCAAGAATGGACAAGTAAAACGAAGAGATTGATAGTTTCATCAAAGACTTTTAAATCAAAGCTGAGGAATATGAGAAGGTTATTGAATGGATTCCATCCGATAAACTAATTGATCTACGAAAAATTAAAGAATTTGATTTAGAAAATAATAAAGAAACTGATTCAGAGATTAAAGAATCTGATCAAGAAATCAAAGAATCAGATTTAGTGTTTATGGCAACCTGGCTAAGTGGTATACGAAAGGTTAAAAATGAATCGGGAAAATATACACAGTCACGCACAATATCTCGTGTTGAGCTTATGAATTTGCATTGTACATAGATAAGCAATTTGAACCTTGAAAAAGTAAGTTAAAACTATTTTATATAAACTAGTGCTTAGTTAGCCAATGCATATATTTCTTTAAAGTTTAAAAATTACATAGAGAAATGTACAAAATACATGGATTAATTCAAAGTAGCGAAACCGGCCAATACATGATAGTAATCGATTTTTTTAACGACAAAAGAAAACCTATAAATGGAATATGCAAAAATTGTGAACGGGACAATACTGACCCAGCTTGGTGTCAATTATGTGATCCTCCAAAAATAACCCAAGAAACAAAGTGGTGATAAGGACATTTATGATTGTATTAAGGAATTTCAACTTAAATCTACGGCATACGAAAAAGTGATAGAATGGATTACATTTGATAGGTTGAAAATATAGAAACTATCGGTTCGGCGGGCACAGTATATTCAGTAGTTTGATCGATCATTTAAAAATCGAAAACAATTTATGGTGTTATGCCCTATGTTGCTCCAGAAGTTTTAAATGAGCAACAGCTCACTCAAGCTGCTGATATATACGGATTTAAATTATTATGTCAGAGATGTCAACTGGACAAAGACCCTTTGATGGATATCCATTCGATGAAAGTCTCGTAATTAAGATTATTTACGATGGATTGAGGCCTTTATTTGCCCCCCCGGAACTCCTAGTTGCTATATTGAATTGGCTAAGAAATGCATGAATTCTGATTTAGAGAAACGAACGTGCTTAGCAAGTTTATGATAAGCTTTAAGAGTGGATTGAACGCATGGAAGATTCAGATGATAATGAAACTAAAAAACAATTCTTAGGTGCTGATAAGAATGTCGAAAAATTACCAATAAATTTATTACCAAAACATCCAGATTCTATGTACACTAGCAAAATGATAACTATACAAAATTTTGAGTGCAACTAAAGGTATATACTTTAAAAAAATCTACATATTTAATTTTTAATTTAAATTCTTAAATTTGCTTTTAGTGAGCAAACCTATCGAATTTTTTGAAGTTTCAGATGGTAAGTAAATATCACATTAAACCTATTTCCAACTAAGTAAAACAAGTAAATTTTACTCTTATAATGTTTAGATTAATGAACAAAAATAAGAAAAATGATTACATAAAATAACAGATTAATTTTATAATTTTAATAAGGAGCAAGAATATATTGAGAATTTGTTTTTATATTGTTTATTTTATTTACATGAAATGCACTATCTGTTCATTTAATTCAGTGAATGAGAATGAAGTACAATTATTAAATGACGTTCAAGTTAACACAATTCACACAATAAAAAAGCTCGATAATAATTGTAAAACATGATGTTGCCGAATTTGTATTTTATTTCGTTTAACAGCTAAAATGGTCAAAAAAAAGTACTGTATTACAAAATTGATAGCGTTTTATATGCTACTCTCAAGCTCTTGCTCTTTGTAAGCTAAGCAGAGAGGCGATGCTTAGAGAGTCTTAATATATTTAGTGCTAAGTTTTTAATAAAAGTGATTTAGCATAAATTCTATGACATAGTTTTGTGATTTTTTTATTATTTCACAAGTTAATGACATATACCTGCATTGGTTGTAACCACATTAAACATATAATCGGTTTGAAGATTTTGATCCGTCTTCACACTCACATAAAATATAAAAACAAAATAAGCAAGCAACCTAAAATATGTTATAGAAAAATATCAAAGATA